CTAAATAAAAAGCTAAAATAAGCTTTAAATAGTTAAAAGATAAAATTAGCAAAAAATTTTATTCTCATTTGCAAAACTGTAGTTAAATGCTAAAATATACAAACAGCACTAAAAAAATAAAATGAGCAAAATCATAACTACATCCTGAAGTTACCAAGACAGCAGCTAAAAGGAGCCTTTAATAGCTAAAAGATAAATTTAGGGGAAAAAAATCATAGAATCAAACTAAAATGGACTCATATGTTGTTAAAATAAGCAAACAGCAGCTAAAATATAAAAAATTGCAGAATTGTAGCTTAAAACTAAAGACATAATTAGCTAAACCAATTCTTATTAGCAAAACAGAAGCTAAAATAAGCAAAAGGCAACTAAATGATAAAATTAGCAAAATCATAGCAAAAACCTAAAGTCATCAAAACTAATCTAAAATGAGCATTAAAGGTCAAAATAAAGCAAGTTCGCTTTATTAACTTAGATATTAGAAAATAAAGTTTTTTAAGGAATTAGAGATCTTAATGCATTTTATTTTTATGCAGATTATTTTGTAAACAAAACGGAATAATTCAAAAAGTTAAAAGTTAGAAATACTAAGAATCAAAGCACCTTTTTGTTATGAGTTAAACACACACACACACACACACACACACACACACACACACACACACACACACACACACACACACACACACACACACACACTGTGAGCAGTAATTGAAACAGATGTACGGCTGCAGGAACACTTTCTGATCTGATCTTGTGCAGTTTGTGAGCGAGGCGGCAAACAGAGAGAACAGAAACACTCAGGGTGAGTCCTCGAGTGGCGCAGAGACACACAAGTTCAGATCGGAGGAGGAGGAGGACAGCTTCACAAACGCTGTGATCAAAAGCAGCTGGAGAGCGTGGCCGTTTGGCTGATCTGGGCTCAGATCAAAGCCCACCGGTTCGGTTGGCGGGCCTCGGTCCTTCGGTGGCGCCACATTAACACTCAGCCCTCAGGCTGTTTGGTCTGTAATGAGGAGCAAGAGGTCCAACAGGTGGAGGGTTCTGATGGAGGCGGAGCCTCTCGGCTGCAGAACCACAGGTCCTCAGTGTGGGCAGGTGATGTGGAGAAACATCTCATTTCTCCTCCACAGAGACGAAGGATGAAACCTGAACCTTCTTTAGACTCACAGCTGCTGAAGTTCTTCTGTTCAAAGAACAAACTGTTCTCCTCTGAGGATCACAGCTGCTAACTGTTTCTACACTGAGTGGGGTATAAACAACATAAATATACTGCTCCAAAACTAAAGGGAACACTCACATAACATCCTAGATCTGAAATATCCTCATTAAATACTTTGTTCTGTACTAAGTTGAATGTGCTGACACAGCATGTGAAACTGTTTGTCAGTGTTGCTTCCTAAGTGGACAGTTTGATTTACTTGGAGTTAGATTATATTTAAGTGTTTCACTTTATGTTTTTGAGCAGTATATATTTGAGACTGTTTAAAGATCAGTAATAAATCATCTCTCTTCAGCAAATAACACAGAGAAGGAAATTATGTTTGAAAAAATGTTTCAATCTTTCCTGCTGTTTGTTATACCTGAACATTAGTGGGCAGCACTAATCTAAAACTTAGTTCCACTATCCCTAAAGCACTAACTCAAATATTTAGGTCCCCTAATTCTAAAGCACTAACATAATCCAGTCAACCTATAAACATTCTTCAACAGACAACATGAGTCACATGTTAACATGTTGCTCTCTTTAGACTTATGATTGACATTCCATTAACTGACATTAACATTAATCAATAACATTTATAGACCTCAGTTAGTGATTCTAAATTTAGCCTATAAATTTAGCAAGTGCTAATCCACTAATAAATTTAAAAATTAGCAAAAGCCCTAAAGCACTAGTCAGGAAATTAGTTCCCCTATTAGTGCTTTAGTGTTTTAGGGAACTGTGCCCACCACTGAAACTGAACATTTTTGCAGAAAATGCAGTGAAAATGCTGAATAAGAAGCTGAAACTTCATTGTTTAATTAAAAAAGCAGAACAGAAATTAAAAGGAGATGAATTAAAACTTAACTGAAAAAAAGTGGAAAAAAGAACAGGAGCTAAATGCTAAAATGAGCATAAAAAATAAAAT